CTAATGGAGAAACGTCTGCAATAAAGCACCTTTTTAAATAAATTACAATAGCCTTGTGACTAAATATTATAGAATTGTAACTCCAACATTTTCCAGTTTTATTTTGTATAGAGAAATCTGTGATTTACTTCCATGGCTATCACTTTTTAACATTTCTTAAGATCTACTTTAAAGTCCAATTTCAACTATGTGTCTCCCATACACACATATTCATACAGACTCATTTCAAAACCTGAAGAAGGTCAGGAATGTTAGAATTTAAATGTGATCCATCTCACTGCAATTTTAAATCAGACTCAAATTAACTTGTGGAAAACCAAAGGACTTTAAACTCTAGGTTAGAAATTACCCTGTTGGTTTGTTTTAAAAATTACTACTATAAAATAATGCCATCACCCCACATTTGTCTGACACTCAATTTTCCTGCAAATTTTCACATTTCTTAAATATTCATAGGACAGACTTAGAATAACAACTTCAAAAATAAAAGGTATAGACCATTGTGCCTTCCTGAGCCAATAAAATGGTTCTTTCCTAGTTGTTACCTGGTAGACTTCTAAGAGGACTACTTCTCAAAAAAATATAAGCAACTTACTACTTTCTCCACAATTATAGTGAAATGACAATAATAAGATTATTGTAAGGCTAATTAAGGAAAGAATGGAAATGGTGAGTATCTGTAACTTCACAATTTACATTCAATTGAGACCCTCTGGCCAGCGTGGAGTAAACATAACTCCCCACATGTAATTACGACAGGTGTGCTTTAGTTTCAGAATGCGTGTCAGCTGACAAAAAGGGTGTGTGGGAGAAAAAGGACTGATGAGATTGTTGAAACACAGCACCCTGCTCTCTTCTCCTCTCCGCACCCCCTCAGGAAAGGGAGGGCCTCAGTCCCAGTGCAGCCCTGGCCAAGGCCCTGAGGACAAGCAAGTTACAGATGGGCGAATGTGAAGCACAAGGCGATTAGGGGACTTGCCCAAGGCCAGCAACCGTATAGGCAGGAGAGCGGGCAGCAGGGTCAGGACACCCCCGGAACGACGCACTGGTGCGGGGCCCAGAGGCACAGAAGGCCTATAGGATAATGTTCTCAAACTTCTGGTCAAGCTGTCCATTTCATGTTTGCAAACCTCTGGTTTCAAATTAAATAAATAAACAAAACTGATGAGGGGAAAAAAAAGACTGACAACCTCTAATCTTAGGACATAGCCAGGTTATGTGCTGCAGTATTATCAATACAACACAGTACTGATGAAACCTGGCATCTTCCAGAAAACAGAACTGTGTTTTTAAAATCCCATATAACATAGGCACTCTTAAAGAATAAATTCCAGAGTCTTGCAACACAGCTAGAACAATATGAGCAGATAAAGAAGCGCCACCATCTAAAACGGCGAAGAAAACGAGCTGCTGCTGGCACCTGGGGCAGAGACTGCTTTTGCAGCATTTAAACTCCTGCAGAATGTTAACCTTGTCAGCAATCCTGTTCATGCTTTACTGGAGAAATGAGAAAAATGGATTACCACCCAAAAGGATTCAGAAACCCATCCAGCCAAGTAGTGGCAGAGCCAAGATTAGAACCCAGGTCTCCTAGAACCCCAGTGATTCTTTTGTCCAGTGCCAATTTTCTGAAGCGCAGACATAGTATCTACCCTGAGTTTACTCTGGAGAGCGATTAGCCCTTCCGAAAAGCTTCCCAGAATTCCTTCACCTGCCTCTCCCAAAACATCTGTGGTTCAGACAGGTGTTACCATTCCCATTTTATATGAAGAAACTGGCACAAAGGGATTGTGCCTGAAGTTACATGGACTAAAGCAACAGGACTTTAGACACTTCCACTGTTGTTTTTATAATACTACAGTGGATTGTGCATTCTAGAGTTTATTAACAATTGTACTTTCCTATCATTTTAATTAGTATGTGTACCACCTCAGGATCTGCTTCTTCAGTTTAGTTTATATTCACATGTGTAAAGACATTTTTATCATATTCCATTTAATGTCACAGTTTGCCAAATTGTTAAGCATTTTTAAGGTGGAGCTGTTTCCAATTATTCACTATTATAAACAGGGCTTCTGTAATATATATATTACTTTTTGCTCTTTCTTGGTTTCTTTCCCTTTACCAAAAGCAATACCACACAAGCAAAACAATAATGAGTCACTGTATAGCTCATTACATAACAAAATGTTACACACTGGACTTCCAGCAACGGAAGCAGGGACAAACCACAAACTTAGATTCTATCGATCTCATCTTGTATAACATCAATTAAAAAAAAACTTTCTCTTGCACAGTACCAGCTAACTACCTTGTTTTTAGTTCCAGTGGGGGGAAAAGGCCTCAAAGGAGCCTAGGAAAATAATGCAGGAGGAAATCTTTTTTCCAGAGAATGCAATTTACAGACGAGCTAGGAGCCTTTAGGGATTAAGGGAATGACCAGAAACTTTTCCCTTCTGGAAGGAAAATACCAAAGTGCAGTGGCTGGGATTAAAACGATAAAATATTTAACACCTACTGATGAATATTAGACACATCAAACCAGGTCTCCCAGTATAGACAAAAGGAAGCTCTGGAGCTGTTTAGAACAGGCATTTTATGTGGTATTTTCTGCACGAGTGTTTACTCCTTATGGCCTTCAACATCACTCAGAAGAAATAAAAATGCTGTAACTACAGCCACATGCTTTATGTTTCAGGGGAGTAAATAATTCCTGCCACTATTTGCTAATATAATATACTGGGCAGTGTCGCTGTCCCCCACGATTCTTCTTCCACCTCTTCCTAAATATGCTCTTGTCACATAAGCAAGGCCCCTCAGATGCACGTGGCTGTCAAAGCGGTGGGGTTTCAGTGGGCAAACAGATGATTCCATTGCAGTCAATTTGCCCTATCCTTTTTGTTAATATCTGAAATTTTCATAAAAGGAGCAAATATTTCTCCTTTCACCATTAGAATGTTAAAAATTAAAGCATCTCTTAACTTCAAAATGCCATGTATTAACTGAATCAAGTGGGAACCTTTCCTGAAAAGAAAATTTTGTAAAAAAGGGCAGAAAGGGTGAAAGAGAGTCCTGGGTCCCTGAGGAGGTGAGAAAAGAACACCTAGACACAGGGGTATGCAGAGGCTGCCGGGGCCCTGAAGCCAAGCTGCCCGTCCCACACGCAGCCTGTGTGGCCTAGAATAACCCTCGGCAGGAAGGTCACACTCCTGACACACAACCCACCTAAGCTGGCAGGGGCTCAGTGATACTTCCACGAGGGGGTGGATTGTCCAAGTCACCCATGTTACTATTAGCATTTATTTCTCAAACAGTTCAAGATTAGGCCACAGATATTCAATACCAATGTGAAGCAAAATAACTCATCAAGATCACAAGCACCCTAGGACCTCCACGAAGCTGAATTCCCTATCATTTATATAAAAGTATTGGAACTGCTTTCAATGAATGTGAACCTGTGGTACTCCTGCAATGATAATAATAGATAGAAGACTAACTTGAACTGAAAGGCAGAAAGGAGTCTAGAAATGAAACAATATGGAGAGAGGAGAAGAAAATTGCTGGCAGATGAGAGAAACGCTAGAGAAAGGAATCGAATGGATGTGTGATTAAGTTTCTGCTTCCCCACTGCCCCCAAATCTGTAGTGAAATATGCATTTCTAGTTTTTTAAACAAAGCAGGTTATTGATTATTAAAGTATTTTAAAAAAGCAGAGCAAGCTATAGCATCTTACTACACTGATGGACAGTGACTGTAATGGGGTATGTGGTGGGGACTTGATAATAGGGGGGAAGGTAGTAACTACAACGTTGCCCATGTGAAACCTTAATAAAATTGTATATCAAGGACACCTTAATAATAATAAATAAAAAAGAGCAAGCATTCATTATTAAAGCCTTCCAGAGCCTTGCTTGTTAGAAATATTGGGAAAATGGTTAAAAAGTGATGCTTAACAACCTTCTGGTTTCCTTGATAAACTCTAATAGAGGGTAAGCCACTAGCTACTGAGCAGTGGGAGTCACTACATCAAACCACACCTGTGCTCCACTAAACAAGGAGAGAGCCAAACAGAGACTGTGACAAAGGCCCTGGTATCTAACTGGGTAATTTCATGATCCTGAGGGGATAACTAAGGAAAGCAGAGTTAGAAGGAAAAAACCAGCTGGCCCCAATAGGTCACTCTAAACAAGGTCTGTGGGTGCAAAAGGTGGTCATTAAGGAGCAAAGTGCCCTGAAAGGATGATGGATAACCACCATTTGCTCTAGCTCCAGTGCAAATGGGATCATATACAAAGCCCTCTACTTTATTTTTATTTAAAAAAATTTTTAAATTAAGGTNTTTTCCTGAAAAATTCTGCAGCAAGCTGATCTATACACAGATCTGAGCTCTGCTTTGGCGTGGACCAGATTTTATTTCAATTCTCACCCCACTTCAGGTATCCCCATGTTTTCTCCTGAACCTACTAAAAAATTTACAATAGTTGGATGTATATTACAGTATCCCTACTACATACAGAAAATACAAGAAAAGTTCCCCCAAATAGAGATGATAAAGGCCAACAAGCCTAAAGAAAACATAAGCAAGGCATATGAATAGGCAGTTCACTTCAGAAAAGGAAATAAAAATACCCTGTAAACATGAAAACATATTCACTGGCTCCTAATAAGGGAGAGCCAATGAAAACTACATAGGCAGCATTTTCCACCTGGAAGACTGGCAAAAAAAAAACAGAAGTCTGACAACCTAGTCTCTGAACAAGGTTCTGGGAAAAAAGGTTCTCTCACCTGTTGCTCCCCAAGTTCTAGGGAGAGGTATTTGGCAGTATGTAGTGAAAATACGAATTTCCCTTTGTCCCAACAATCCCTACTTTTAGGAATCTGTCCCAAAGGTACAATGGCAAATATGCAAATAACATACACACAAGGCTATTCACTGTAGTAATCTGTGGTATCTGTAACAGCAAAAGGCTGGAAACAGCCTGAATGTCCCGGACCGGGAACTAGCCGCCCAAGCCGGTACCAGAGCATTCTGGAGCGCTCTGCAGGCCAAGCAAGGGGGGGTGCTCTCCATAAGTGGCCACCGAGGGCGCTCTCGGGTGGACTGCTGAGTGAAAAACAAGGTGCAGAACAGCAGGTAAGTATCAACTTTCCAGCTGAGAAAGAGGAGAATAAACACACAAACATTTATATTTTAAAATCTACAGAAGGATAACTGAAGACTGATAAAAATCATAACCTATAGAGGCAAGGAGGGAACAGTATGAAAGATGTATATCACAATATCCCTAATACAAATAAATACAGAAAATACAAAAAGACATGGGAACAAAAAATAAGAATTTTGTAGGATATAGCCCAAGTATAAAAAGAACTGAAGATAAACTGTTTTAATAATCATATTGTCAGTGATAATATTGATATTATGATTTTGAAATTAAGCTAACTAGCTAGATATATACAGATAGGTAGAGTAAGCAAGTAATAATATATATTCATTAGGCATCAAAATTTCCAATGTAAAGAAGAGCTATAAATATAAAGCAAAATACCTTAAGTGAAAATCCTCTAATCCTGAACATAAATGGAAAAAAAAAAAAAAAAGGTCCCCACGGGTAAGATTCCTCAAGGGAGGAACAACCTAAAACAGGCACAGTCGCAGGGGGGCCATCAGGTGAGAAATTGGGGATCAACAGAAGTGAGGCTTAGAACCTCACCCTCCCTGTTTTGAGAGAAATCTTCTGCATCCGTGAATGTTTTACTGCCCTTGTCTAGCTTGGATTAACACATAGTCTACAGGCACACACCTGATCATCTACATTTGCTCTCTTACAACACTAAACTATGTTTTCTACCTTTATCTTGCATCTACCTATCACTT